ATATTAAAAAAATAATCTAATATTAAAAAAATAATCTAATATTAAAAAAATAATCTAATATTAAAAAAATAATCTAACATTAATAATATTATTTATATTATTTATTAACAAGGATGCATCAATGATGTTCAACGTATCAAAAAATTTTTAATTGAACATGGATTTAATGAATCAGATATGATCATATTGACGGATGATCAAAAAGATTATAATAGAATTCCTACTCGCGCAAATATTATTAAATATATTAAAGAATTGGTTTCTGATCCCCGAAATAATGATTCGTATGTTTTAATTATAATATATTTTATTTATTTATAAAATATTTTATTAATATTTTATTTATTAATTTATGATATATTAATTTATAATCTATTTTTATTTTATTTTTTTTAGATACTTTTTCCATTTTAGTGGACACGGGGGACAATTAGTCGATAAAAATGATGATGAAGAAGATGGTTATGATGAAACAATTTTACCACTTGATTGGCAAAAAGCTGGACAAATTATTGATGATGTTAGAATTAAATTATAATTATTATTATTATTATTTTGGTTCAGAAGATTATAGAAATTTATCAATTCACACAATCTTATTTATTTCTCTCTCTTTATTTTTTTTAAATAGGAATTACATAATTTGTTGGTTGATCCTCTTTCTGAAGGTATGCTATTCTATTATTATTATTATTATTATTATTATTACACTAATATATTATAACCAATATTATTACCAATATTTTCAGGTGTTCGTTTAACAGTAGTTTTCGATTCATGTCACTCCGGAACAGTACTCGATTTACCTTACGTTTATTCCACTCGTGGTACCATAAAACAACCAAAAATTTTATTACAAGGAGCTAAAAATGCTTTGGATACTGGATTGAGATATTTTCAGGGTGAATTAGAATCTTTTAGAAAATCAGTAAAAATTTTAGCTACTAAAACTCTGGAGGGACATGTTATTAGAAGAAAAAATTTACAAACTATGTCTAGTGTGGCTGATATTGTTATGTTTAGTGGGTCAGTATAAACTTTAAATATTTGAGTATACATATATTAGTATATTAGTATATGCATTTTACTGTAAATGTAATATATATTATATATATCTATCAACTATGTTTAATTTATAGGTGCAAAGATGAGCAAACTTCAGCTGATGCGCATGAAGGCGGACAAGCTACTGGAGCAATGTCATACGCTTTAATTAAATCGTAAGTAACATAAAAATAATTCTTTAATAATATATTTTTTATTTATTTTTAATAATTATATTATCTTTTAAATAGGTTATCTCGTGATCACAAACAAACTTATAAAGAATTACTGAATTCTATTCGTGAGATTTTACATGAAAAATATGCTCAGCGACCTCAACTTAGCGCGTAAGTTAAATACTTTATTTTTATTTGAATATTTTGAATATATAATATATTTTTTAATAAAGGTTAAATAAAGTTTTATAAGAAGGTATTAACTATTATAATAAATTATTATTATCTAGGTCACATCCAATGGAAATGGAATCCCCATTTACCATATAATAAATGTATGATATGTTCAATATGTAAATTTTCATATACATATTTTTATTTATTTATTTTTTAATTATTTATCTTAGTATGTATTTATTTATTATTTGATCACTTTTTTACTTATTTTTGGGGGGGGGATGTTGTCATCTTTGACTCAGGTGTCACCCTTTGACTAGAATTATAAAACTGGCCTATGTAGATTATGTAGATCTTATGTAGATCGTTATAACTTCAGCCAACCCTAACCCTAACTCTGGTCTGTTTTTTAAATAAACAAACATAAAATACATATAACTGGATCATAACAGTAAATATGTATATATCTCTATATATATAAAATTCTTTTAAGAATTCTTTACATATGATTATTTATTTTATCCTAATGCATTTTGCATAATATATTCAATATATTTATTTTTACAATTATTTGTAAAATTAATAAATTTTCACAATATTTTAACATTTTGACGTGCAAAAATGACAATTTATGTGTTTAAATGTAACGATAATCAAACAAATTAAAAGGTCATTTACTATTTCACTTAGTTAATGATGCCAGATGAGTGGTGTACCACCTAAAAATCGAGTTGAGTAATGTGTACCGAATTTAATGGTACACATAAGTACACTGTACACACGTGTACGTGGCGAAATTCTATTTATTATACAAAATTATATTTGACTGTTTAATATATTTTATGTAATATTATTTGATTAAGTTCATTCTCTATCTATTATTATTATTAATTATTATATTTATTAATTATTATATTTATTAATTATTATATTTATTAATTATTGTTATTATTAATTATTATTATTATTATTATTATTGTTAATTATTTTTGTTATTAATTAATTATTTCATTGTAATTCTTTTTCTTTTAAAAGATTTGATAATTCAAGTTCATTTATTTTTGCTTCTTTTTTCCTCATGACAAGTTCACGCTCTTTTAATGTTATAATTTTTTCTCTGTATTCCAATTCTTCTATAGAAAATTTATTTCTTTGAGTTTGATCTTTTTCATTCTCAATATTAGATTCAAATTGTAATGATTTTGGATTTTTTCTTGCTAGAACTTGAATCTGCATTTTGTTTATGTTTAGAATAAGATGTATTTACTTTTTTTGCACATCTATTTGCTAAAAAAATATAAAAATAAATTAATTGTATATTGTAATAATTTAAAATTTATTTAATAAAAAAAATTTACCTTGACATTTGATTGATGAAATTTTTTGAACTATAGGACCTTTATCTCTTCTTGAACTGGTATATTGTATTTTTTATAATTATTAATTAAAATAAACCTTTCTTTATCTAATTTATATCCCCTATAAAAAACAAATTATATTTAATTCAATTTGAATAAATAAATAAATAAAAAAATAAATAAATAGATAAATAAAATATATACTGTTTAATTGCAGTCACTAATTTTAAATTTTTTCACAATGATTGCTTTGTACATGTGCTGCTTCTGCAACATTTGTATTATTTGGTACTGTGATCCAAATTTCATTATCAATTTTGGACATGGTTTTATTTAAAGAACTAATAACCCATTTTTAATAATAAAATACAATCCAATTTAAAAAGTAATGTTTATTAATTTTAAAATTATAATATTAAATATTAAAAAATATTAATTATAAAAAAAATACCAACCAGTAGTATTTTTATCATTTTTCAGAATATTATCAAATAATTCATTAATAGATTCTTCAGAATTGGCTAACTAAGAAATAAAATTTTACCTTTTATAATGTACTTAACAGAATTTTAAAATGTGAACTAAATGTTCTTTTCAATTTTTAATATTGTCTATTTTATTTAATACCATTTCAAGTCCTTTCGCTTGTGCCTAGTCTAAATCAGTAATAATACATTTCTATCTATTATTATGAATATGTTTAAAGTGAGAAAATATATCAGTTAATTATAAAATAAGATTAAAAAGTAAATTGAATATTCTATAATATGTAACAGCTGTTACATTATTAATAAATCTTGGGCAAAAATAAGAACTAAAAAAAAAAATAAATATATTATTTCAAAAAAAATATATATATAACATACTTAATTTATGTTCTGTATTAAAATAATTAATCTCAAATTCATTTATTTTATTTTTTATTACATGTTTAAATGAAAGATCTATTTCAAAGTATTTGTATTTGATCCATTCTTTTAATTGTTCAATGGTAGTACAAATAATCATTATATAATTATCTTCAAAAAATTCCATAAAAATAAAAAAAAATTTAATAAAATTTTAAATATAAATATTTTAAAATTAAATAATATTTATTTATGTATTTTACATATTCAAAAAAATTGTTTATATTTTTAAAATAATTATATATAACTTCAAGAAGACCAGTTTTTTGTAAACTAATTTCTTTTTATATTTTATTTATATGATATCTTAATCAATCAGTATTATTTCCTGAAAAATATACTTCTGTCAAATATTTAATACCAAAATATGTTTTAATTAAATTTCTTAGATACAATAATAAATTATTAATTTAAAAATCACATAATATTTAAATAAATAAAAAATTATATTTTAAATTTACCTAAAATAATATATATTAAAGTAATATCCCCAGTATTATTATGAAACTTAATTAGATGGAGGAGGTGAATAAGAGCCTTATAAAAATCATAATATTTAAAATATATTCAAAATATATTTTATTAAGTATTTTTTAAATATATAAAAACTATTTAAAATATTATTATTTTATAATTAAAATATATTTAAAATATACTTAAAAAATACTTAATTTAGGTAA